TTGTAATTGTTACATATACAATTACACATTGTATTTATATTAATCAAATGAATAAATATTAAAATGAATATTTTTATGATAATCAATCCTCTGCAGGACCAACCTAATTTGAACAGGGTAAAATGAGTTAAACCTTTTTCCATTGGTAGCTAAACACAAACGTATAATAACCCACATTTTTAAAAACCGTGTTCACAAGTGAGAGACACAGGTTTGCATTTGACTCCATTCCACTGGGTCTAAGCAATAAACCTGCAAAAAGACTCTCCAAAAATGCATCGAACAAAATCGCTATAAAGAGCAGATGCATTTGCATGCTTTTTTGGAGAAGGCCAGTTTGGAGCTCAGAGGTGTGGGCGTTTAACAAGTCGCCAACAGCTCATCTTCATTTTCAATTCATTTTCCGCCCTCGTAGCAGGAGATCTGCCCGGCACGTTTGTGAGAGCCAGTGCGCTTTCACAACCCTCCTCTGAGGAAGAGTGTGTACGATCGAGCGAATTATGTGCGAATGCAAGAAAAGGTTACTTGACCAGAATGTGTGTTTGTGTGTCATGTGTGCTGTCTAGGAGGCTTTAACACACACACAAACACACATCAACCCACAACAGACTGCAAGAATAACACACTGATGACTCAAGCTTTCAGCAGACACACAGACGCAGACAAACATGCTTGAATGAACTCACACACAAGGGCCGCGCAAAGGCCATCTACAGCATAAATAAGACATAAGATAGACCGAGTATAGCACATGACATCAGCGCTCAGGACACTCAGACATTCAAGCAATTCGACATGTAAACAGGGCGATTTTCCTGATGCACTTCCCTCTGAAAATTTAAAGAGATAGTTCATCCAAATATGAACATTTTGGCATTTCTTAAAAACTCATGAGTTTCTAACACAAAAAAAAGAGAAATTTGTATGTTTTTTGGAACACAAAAGGAGAAATTTTTAAGTCCTGATTGGTTTTCCAATGCAATGCAATGCACATGCATGTGTATGTATTTATATATATATACATAATAAACATACACAGTACACACATATATTATGTAAACAAAATTGTTTATTTTGGATGCGATTCCGTACCCACTGTATATATATATATATATATATACTGTATATGATTTTTGTAGAATACAATTTTAAATATTGATATCTACATTTAAAATAAATAGAAATAAAAATATATATCATATAGGGGTGGGGGAAAAAATCGATACAGCATAGTATCGCGATATTTTCCGCGGCAATACTGAATGTATGGACTTACTTCGGATTTGTAAACAAGGAGGGGATGTAAGTAGGGATGCACAGAGAAAATAGGCTACGTATAATAATAATAATATATATGGCGCGCCGCGTCGCGCCCCGCCGTGTTCAGCGTGCATGTTTCACTTTCCTCGTCATTGCACGGTTTGACGCTCCGCTCAATATTCCGATCTATGAATGTGCGTTCCGCTCGTGTACCGCTCATGCTCATCGGAAAAGCAAAGTCCGCCCAAATAACGCGCTGACAGGAAATTTCTATGCAGTATAGGCCTACTTGTTCCGGTTTGCACTGTTCAAAATACCTGTAGTAGCACAGCAGTGCATACCTGTTTACATTTAATTAAGGTGGACTAGATTAGACCACTGATCTATAATAGAGAACATTATATATAGATCAGTGGACTAGACTGTAATACATTTACTGCTTACACGTCTCACACATGTTGAATAATGCATGAAGCTGCATATGGTGGTTTGATATTGCGTATGTGCTGCTCCGACTCCAGCATCAGACAAATGAATACATCACAACTACAGTCCATCCGGGCCAGAAACACCAGGACTGGCTGGGAGTGTTATGGTCCAAAAACAGCAAGCACGCCATGTCCTCATGGACGCATTAAACATATGGTATAAAGTAACATCGGTCCCTGCTCAGAGAGCGTGTTTACAATCAATACTAATTCAGCGAGGAGGGGAAACAGGGGAAAAGAGACTGATAGAGAGGGAGAGTGAAAGAGTGGAAAGGCGCCGTTGGCAGTGAGCAGGTCTCCAGGCGAGACTTTCAGCACCATCTGTTTCCTGATCCGCAGCCCCAGTCCTAAACCCGGTCCTACACAAGCCTGAACCCAGCTGAAGCAGCACAGACAGGGTCTAAACAGGTTATCAAGACAAACAAATCCCACACAAAACCCCTAAAGTCCTTCAAGTCCAGTTCAGCCTCAGACTATGAATAGAAAATGTGCTTAACATCTTTCCTACATTTCTTGCCTTTATTTCAACCTCTCTTTCCACAATGCCACTTTTTCACTTTCCTTTGTATTTTTCTTTGTTTTCCTCATTCCTGCCTAGTCTACGGTAGCATTCTTCAAACTTCATCCTTCCCTTCCTTATTCCTCGTTTTCTTTTATTCTTTATTTTCGTCTTAAATACTTTCCACCTTCTTCCTTAACTACAGGATTTACTATAAAAGTCCCAGATTTCAAACTCTAGCCAAGAGAAAACCGACACGTCCAACTGTACTTCTCAGAAATGAAACAATGCGAATCCTTCAGAGATACTGTGTGTTCAGCATGGACATGAACATGTTTCTAAGCTCCAGTGTGGTACCAGAGTCCTCAGACTCCAGCGGTCTGTGTGTGGCTCTCTGACCAGGCCAACATGTCTGTACACAGATGCCATGGTCTGTCTCGTCTCTTTTAGCAGGAGCAGAAGGAAACCACATCGGGGTAACCAATGTGTTTGTGGCTAGCCAGCAATCCACTGCTACTCCAGATCCAAGAGGAGAGAGAGCGCACACACACACAAACATATATACATATACAACTGCCGTTTGGATACATAGAGGCAAAAAATATTTAAAATATATAAAAATAAAATATATAAAGACAAAATAATTAAAAAAATAAAATATAAATTTTAAAGGGAGAAATTAAAAAAAAATAGATGGACAGACAGACATAAACAGACTGGTGGATGTACAAACAGAGAGATAGATCGAACAATAGAACGATAGATAGAACAACAGACAGAAAGATAGACAGACAGACAGACACCAAGAAAGCAAGACAGACAGACAGACGGACAGACAGACAGACAGACAGAAAGAAAGAGACAGACAGACAGACAGACAGAGACAAAGAGACAGACAGACAGACAGAAAGAAAGAAAGAAAGAAAGAAAGAAAGAAATTTCAAACTCTAGCCAAGAGAAAACCGACACGTCCAACTGTACTTCTCAGAAATGAAACAATGCGAATCCTTCAGAGATACTGTGTGTTCAGCATGGACATGAACATGTTTCTAAGCTCCAGTGTGGTACCAGAGTCCTCAGACTCCAGCGGTCTGTGTGTGGCTCTCTGACCAGGCCAACATGTCTGTACACAGATGCCATGGTCTGTCTCGTCTCTTTTAGCAGGAGCAGAAGGAAACCACATCGGGGTAACCAATGTGTTTGTGGCTAGCCAGCAATCCACTGCTACTCCAGATCCAAGAGGAGAGAGAGCGCACACACACACAAACATATATACATATACAACTGCCGTTTGGATACATAGAGGCAAAAAATATTTAAAATATATAAAAATAAAATATATAAAGACAAAATAATTAAAAAAATAAAATATAAATTTTAAAGGGAGAAATTAAAAAAAAATAGATGGACAGACAGACATAAACAGACTGGTGGATGTACAAACAGAGAGATAGATCGAACAATAGAACGATAGATAGAACAACAGAAAGAAAGACAGACAGACAGACAGACACCAAGAAAGCAAGACAGACAGACAGACGGACAGACAGACAGACAGAAAGAAAGAGACAGACAGACAGAGACAAAGAGACAGAAAGAAAGAAAGAAAGAAAGAAAGAAAGAAAGACAGACAGACAGACAGACAGACAGATAGATAGATAGATAGATAGATAGATAGATAAAAATTAAGTCTCTGTGACATCGGGATCATGTTTGTTTGTTCATGTTTGTCAGCTGTTTTTCCACTGCTTATGTCTGATAAACTTCTCAGGTTATTGTTTCAAGCGCAGCATCATATATGAAATGAGTCAGTCTCCATATCTCTGTGAAACTGCACCAGGCGCAAAAACCGTGATTTTGTTCCTCATATTTTCATTTTGATGACTTAAAAAAAAATACACCACAAATTGCCACACATTTCTAGAGAAAAATAAACCCTAGACAAACTTCCGATGGTACATTTTTCCACTGAATTCAAAGTTGTTAAAGAGACCCAAAAATGAAAACTGTCATCATTTTCTCATCCTCATATCGTTTCAAATCCAGAAGACTTTGATTTAAAACTGTTCATCATATAAAACAATTGCGCCACTTCACAAGATTTGGATTAAACAACATTATTTATATGGATTTATTTTATGCTGTCTTTATGACCTTTTTGGATCTTCAAATTTTTGGTTACCTGAACTTTCAATGGAAATAACATTAAAAATAATTTTTTTTTTTTAAAGATTAACCAAAGTCTTCTGGGTTTGGAACACAAATCATGACAGAATTCACATTTTTGGGTGAATTATCTCTTTCAAAGACCCGTAAAAAACACCAATCAGATGCTCTTATTCAGCAACCTTGTTTGATGACCTATGACCCTTGGCTATGCCAACAGGGATGCCCACAGCTGACTGGACTACACACACGCATGCACGCATGCACGCACACACACACACACACACACAAAATCTGGTTAGCTATTCTTGTAGGGACTTCTCCATAGGCGTAATGGTTTTTATACTATACAAACTGTATTTTCTATCGCCCTACACCAACCCTACACCTAAACCTACCCCTTACAGAAAACTACTGGCAATTTTTGAATTTCATAAAACACCGTTTTGTATGTTTTTTAAGCCTTTTGTTTTACCATTTTTACGTTTTATTACATTATTCACATTTGTGTCCTCATAAACCATATATACCAGTACACACACACATACACACACACACACACACACAGAGAGAAGACTCGGTCCTACCAGGAGGAATGTGATTGACTCCAGATGGCTTCAGAAGTTCCAGTGGCTGTTCTTTACTGGGAAGTCCATCTGTGGGAGACAGAGAGAAACCATTCCAACTGAGAAATGCTGAGGATCAGGGAAGCATAAGTCATCAGGATATTGTATTACAGCTCTGCACACAAATTACATATGCAACATATGGACCGTTGCCAGGGAAGATACCATATTTTGAAGCAAATGACTCAGGGATTGACATACACTCACTATCTTTAAGGTAACAAAACTGTCTCTATTTACTGTTATACATGCTCCTAGTCTCATTATGCATTAATGCAACACAAAACAGATTCTCTTTGTTATTTTGCATCAAAAACATAATAACTTTTCACCTCTGATACAGCTTTCATATCAGGTCCCAGATGCTTTTTCTCTGAAATTTCACTCAGGAATTTTTTGCCGTATTTTCAATATTCTATACTGAACTTACTGAATGTAAAATGTACGTCTACCTCTCAAAGCCTACCTTTTATTTGCATCGGTTTAAATCCAGCGTCTACCCTGAGAAAGGTCCACAGCGCACATGAAATGAACACGCAACAGATTTCCTAAAGCAGGATTTGTAATTATGTGGAAAGGCAAAACAACATCAGTAGGCATGATAACTCTGGGAGAAGCAGCTATAAATAGCCTAGATCTCTAAAAGAGGAAGAGAGAGAGAAACGCTCACTGCAGGATACATGAGAGCATTAGCATTCACAAACACACACACGCACACACAGGAGCACAGGAACCATAAAACCCGCACATCTCATTTCATAATAATCCACCAGAACAAAGGAAGAAAACGTGCACAGGGGGAATCTCACTAAACCGGTTATAAACACATCCATATTATTTCATATTGTGACTAAGACAATTAAGCAATTAAGCACTTTTTATTACGGTAATGTGGGGAAAAAAACTCATTATAAAAAACTTATATTATATTATTATAAATTTATTTTAAGTATTTATCCATTAAAGCAGTAGTTTTTGTGGGATTTCTTGATATATTGACAAGAATCAGCCAAGATTTGGCTTGTTTTTTTTTTTTTTCAAGATTCTCAGCTGTGGCCGATTGCTTTTTTTCAGCAATTGTGTGTAAATCTTAGTAGGCAGATGCTAATTGCTCAATATCTATTAATATTATATTAACCAATGGCTAGCCTTTTTGATATATATATATATACATACACACACACTGTTTGTGTGTATATATATATATATATATATATATGTATGTATATGTATATATAAACAAACAAACTGTATTTAGTTTTTAATTTATGATAAAATAAAAAATATATACTTTTATTAATTAGTAATTTATCATTTATTGCTTATTTATATTATTATAATAATAATATAGTCATGAGAATTTAGGGAGAAAACGTCTGAAATGCAAGAAAATATTAGTGGTACAAAAATAGGCTTTATTTTATTTATACTAATGTTCAAAAGTTTGGGTTGATAAGATTTCATTAAAAAAAAACAAAAAAAAAAACTTTTATTTAGCAAGGACACATTCAATTGATCAGAAGTGACAGTATAATGTTAAAAAAGAGTTCTATTGCAAATAAATGCTGCCATCACAGGAATAAATAAAAGACAATAAATAAATGTTAAAATAGAAAAAAGTTATTTGGTGTATAGTGTATATTTATTTTTTTTAATTAAATATAAATGTATTCATATACATATTAATTACATTTTAAAAAGAGTTCTATTGCAAATAAATGCTGCCATCACAGGAATAAATAAAAGACAATAAATAAATGTTAAAATAGAAAAAAGTTATTTGGTGTATAGTGTATATTTATTTTTTTAATTAAATATAAATGTATTCATATACATATTAATTACATTTTAAAATGAATAAATCTTTTAATGTGAAACGTGAAAAATAACTTTGTGACATTCAGGCGCATTCTCCTCAGCTGTAATGAGTTTGTGTATGGCAGCACCGGGAGCAGCGGTTAATCTAACAGTAATGAGCTTCAGATGCACTTCACACGAGTGAGCTTCTTGACATACTGACCCCGATGTGTCTCGCACCTACTCGCTAAAGACTGTCAGTGAATCACAGCCTGAGAGAGAGAGAGAGAGACGAGGAGTCGAGAAGAAGGAATTCAAAGACTTCACAGTGTTTTATTCATTAGACATTCCAGTCACAGTTTTGCCAGCGGCGGCAGGCGGTGACAGGGCTCAGGGTCGTTTCTACGGATCAACAGCGGCGTCAGTTCCTCTCAAAGTGAGACCGGAGGGCTTTACGCCTCAGTTTGCACAGAACACTGCAGAGAAGAAGAACAACCGCCTCAGAAAACCTGAGAGACGTTCGTATTGTGTTGTTGTTACATATTCAGTTTTTCTACCCTAACATCACTTCAGTAGGCGCCCAATCTGTCCTCAAACCTGCTCTGAACTGCAGAAAGACAGGAAAATTGTCACACAACTGAAAATCAGATGATGACGAATCATCTCTGCTGTATGGAGGTCGAGGGCAATTCTGTGCAGAGCTCAGTGCACTGCCCGTGTGATAGGAAAAGTGAACTTTACAGAACAAAACACTCAGGAATACTTTGTTCTGGTCTGGAGACAACAACGCACACATTTGCTCAGTTTCTTCCCAAAATTTGAGACACTGGTTAACAGTGTTTCCAACAGAATTATGCTTTTACAGCAGCCTCCAAACCCCTTAATATGGCCAACTTACATAAAACTACAAAGGAAAAAAAAAGTGATATTTAAATATATATTTCAAATATATTTAAATATATTTCAAAATAATAAAACCTTAAACTAAAATAATAAAATTAAGTTGCGACTGTTTGAACCCCTTAATTTGTCCAACTTATATACTAAAACTACAACAAAAAAATATATATATATTTTTTTTTAGAACATTTCAATATATTTCATAATAAAACCTTAAACTAACTACAGTAAAATAATAAAGTTAATAACTTTTTTGTGAATGTTTCAAGAGCAACAACTGATAATACATAATAATAAATAATATTTAAAATAAAAGAATAAAAAGAATAAAATAAAAGCTTTTAAAACTAAAATGGAATAAAAGCTTAAGAAAATAAAACAATCATAAGAAAATACTATTTTTGTGGGTATATCCATTACTGTTTGATGATTACAGATTTCAGACTTCAAAGCAAAGCAAAACAAAGCAAAGCAAAAATAAATAAAATAAAATAAAATAAAATAAAATAAAATAAAAAATAAAATAAAATGGCTTTTACATGGATTGATGGATACTTACAATAACAAAACAAACCATGGTTGGCCACTTTGCATGTCATCCAGACAGACTCATCCCACCTAAGATGGGTTTTCTTGTCCAGAATAAGCTGTAAAATGGACCACACTTTATGACTATAATCAAAAGCCTGTATAGTCAAAGGACTACCAAAATAGACACGAGAGCCAAACCTCCACACTCCCAGCCTCAACTACTATCAACCGATCTGCCTTCATACATCTCGACTTAATCATATCTGTGGATCTGATTGAGTGACAGGACCCGAGCGACCTCATCCATTCATGTAATACACACAGGGGCTCAGATAAGAGCTACACTTATCCCTGTGAATTCAGATCAGAACAGAGAGTATCAATCATCCGCTGATAAGAGCCGTTCCTGAGGAACATGCACCGAATAGTGCAGCCAAGACTGAGAAACCCAACAAACCCAGGCTATCTCTGAAAATGAGGCTGCAATTGAAGATTATTTTGATCAATATGTTCAAGAATTATTTCCTAATTATTTTTTTAATTAAACAGATAAAAAATATATTTTTATCTGAAATTATTTCAATTCAAAATGCAGATAAAAAACACAGCTAAAACATAAAACAGTTAAAATCAAACTAAAAACATACAAAAATATGTAAAAACATATATATTATAAACGTTTTATATATAAAACAAAAATATGCACTATGCCCTATGCACAGGATTATGGGATTTCACATTAAGTTATGAATACATATGCCATCTTCAAATACTGATCAGATGAAGGCATCTTACCAGACAAGATGTTACACAACCACTGAACTCGAACATGTCTTGATGCTTCCCTACCACTGTTTACTGGCTGCATTTTTCAGGTTGAGGACACGGCGCATGTGTTTTGTTCTCTTCAGGAGGCAGGTAAACAAGGCAGCCCACAGCAGTGGCCTCGCTCAGCCGTGATTAGCTGCCTCTGTAACCCAGCACGCTCCGCCGCTGAACCCCGCTGAGACCCGAGAGCGAGGAACCTGCAGCAGGTAGGCCGTAACAAACCGCCCCACATCAGCTCGCGTGTTACAATGAGCCCCGAGCCCATCAGGATCTTTATGAGCGTGCCTAACACACAGAACTCCAGCTTTAAACAAAACTTTTGAGTTTCCATGATGCTATTTTTAGCCATTCAGACTCAAGTCATCATTAAAGGCAGAGTAAGTGATTTCTGGTAGACAATGTTGATATGCTACAAGTTTGTTTTGCGATTCGGCCCAAATCAGTTTTCTAAAGTGTTTTTGAAAAATCACATACCCTGCCTTTAATACATGCCAAAATAAAAAATAAAATGAAATAAATAAAATTCAATTCAATTGTGGGTAGGGCTGCCCCCTAATAGTCGACTAATCGTTAAATGTTATTAGTCGCTTAGTTGCAGAAAAACAAAATTCCATAGGCGAAGTCACGCAGTCTGTGACGGACAGATCGTTAAAGAGATAGTTCACCCAAAAATGAAAATTCTGTCATTAATTACTCACCCTCATGTCGTTCTAAACCCATAAGCCCGCCGTCCGTCTTCGCAACATCAAGGTCCAGAAACGTAGCAAGGAGATTGGTAAAATAATCCATGTGACATCAGGGGTTCAATAGTAATTTTACAAAGCTACGAGAATACTTTTTGTACGCAAAGAAAACAAAAATAACGACTTTATCCAACAATTCGTCTCCTCCGTGTCACCCTGGTGCCATTTTGGAGAATATCCACTGATCGTAAACAGCGTATGCTATTGTGTCAGCTGCGCTACGCGGATACG